AAGTTCCTAGAGGGCAGAGGCATTTCCCCTAGTAGTCTGGTATCCCAGAACCCACCCGGTAGTGGGCACTTAATAGTGATGCCTCCCACACAAAATGGGGGTTCTCGTGGCCACTTATCCCTCTCGGCAAACACTCTGGTGCCCTCCATCTCCTCTCCACACTCGACACACCCTCCCTGGGCTTTCTTGGTTCTCCAGAACTCGGCCCAAGGCCCCAGCCCTAAACCCCTTAAGGTTTTCCAGCTGTCAAACGATCCCAAAGCCAGCTGACCCAACCATCCCACATAAACCTGGGCGGAGGCGATTTCCTAGCTCTTCAACTTTGGGAAAGTGACCCCACGAGGACCTGTGGACAGTCACGCTCCCTTCCTGACCTCGCCACCCAAAGAGACGGGAGGTTCCATCTCCCGTCTCTGAGCATCTGTCCGCCTCTGCCTGGTGTGCGAGGGGCGCGCTGGGGGCGGCTCCCACAGCTCGAGGGAGGGCCCAGCCGTCTGAGCGCACCTCACGGTTACTCTCCCTGTGCCCCCGCCCCCCGCCAAGCCTTGGGGCTCACCCACGGTCCCCCGCGCATCCCGAGGCTGACAGAGCCGAGCTCTTGGCGGCCGCAGTGGGCGCCCACGCACGTAAGGGCCCCGAGACGGCCGCCGCCTCTGCTCGTGGGCAGCCGGGGCTCCGCGGGTGAGCGCAGGATCCTCGGGGGGCGCCCCCAGGGCGTTCGGGCCGGGGCTGGGCTCGGACGGGGCAGACGGGCCACGAGCTGGAGTTTCTGCCGTGGCTGACGTTTTTTTGCGCACTGCTAGGGCTCGGCCCCTTGCCTCCTCCCGCCCGCTGAAAGTCAGCCACAAAAACAGGGAACGGGGAGGCAGCGACATTCACTCGGTAGAGACAACTCTCAAAGAGACAGACCCCGCTCGCCTGCCCGTCCACTCGAGCTCTGCCACCCTCCCACCTTTTATCTTGGCCGCTCGCACGGCCTATTGGCTGTCAGCTCGCCCAGCAGCTGAGCCTTTTGGGGTGGGGGGAAGGCAAGGGGGGCGTCACACGTGGGGCAAAGATACTCACCTTTAACCCCCAACACAAGCTCCACAGGAAGGATGCTCCGAGTTCCTCCTCGCCCACCCCAAGTTATCGCCGGGACGCGCCTTGTTGCAAAGCGTGCAAATTGAGGGAGATTGGGAGAGTGTCTGCGGAGCGCCCCATTCATTAGGAAGGTCCAGGAGTGTTACATGGAGCCCTCTGATACGCACAAAGAATAAAATGATGAAAGGCTCAAAGCCCTCCACCTCAGTTTACTTAATTGTAAAATGACAGGTTGGACTAGAAGACCTCTCAAGTTCCTTCCAGCCCTATATCGTGCGTTCTGTGATACATTTAACCAAGCTCAAGGGGTCGGGGCTTCTCATCCAAGAGTGGAATGCAAATTACAAAAAATAACGGAAGTGAAGGCCAAAACCCATCTCTCCGAGAGGTCCCTTCCTACAACAAGTCTTTGATCGTGGAATCCTGAACTCATGCATTTGCATCACTTACCATCTACCAGTTCCAGATGGTACTGGAAGTGGTACCATCACTTACCAGTTTGCTGGTAACCAACTGGCTGACCTTCCTTAAACAGCGTTTTCTTCAGATACCGCTCCAGCTCAAGAACTTTAAATGGCTCTCAGGTGCTTGCAATTGAGATCTAAATGTTTTCGCCTGAAATGGAGACTCTTCTCAATCTGATCTCAATTTAAGTTGGCAGTCATATTTTTCACTTTAGAAATGAAATAATTTATGTCAAGTTTTTTACACAAGCACTTTACAAAGCTCCAAGTCATTATAAATTACTATTACTTTTATAACTTGTCTATAAGAACCTCGGGGTTAGCTTGGCATAATGCAGTGGTCTCCAAACTCTTTGATCAATTAGTTCTTGGCACTGGTGCCCATTAATGTACCCATATATTTATGAATTACATACAAATACAATTATACTCATAATGTGCATTATAAAACACATCTCAAACAGTGAAATAGGGATGAAATTATTTAAAAATTTTATTTGTAGATGATGACCAAAAAACCTTTTTTGGTCTAGCAGTATTTTAATAACTCTGAGTGAGAGCAATGTAACTGAATGTGCTTTTTAAAAAATTCCTCGTGGAAGTCCTAAGTAATAGGGAAAATTTGTAAGTAATAGTTCATTATTAATTCATTAAATATAATCAATGTACTTAGCCTGGCCTATTTTTTTAAGGTGAGTTTTATTCAAAGTTGCACAATGTAACAATCAAATAACAGGTTGCTAAGTCAATGAAAATTCAGGGTTTTCACTTTAATTTTTCTACAAATGGGCACATAATTCAGCCATTTGTCTAGTATTTCTTGCCCTCTCCATGGGTGGGGGAGGAACAGGAGAGAGAGAGAATTCAGAACTGAAAATAAAAATTATAATTAAAAAAATTTTAATCATGTACATTGTCAAAACAAGCAAAGGTGAAGTTTCTGATTTTTAACTCAAGAACAGTTTCAGGGAAACAGGGAAAATTTATGTGAATTGATGCAAAGTACAATAGGCTAAACCAGCGGTGGAAATTATATACCCAATGACTCCAATGTAAATGCAAAAAAAATTGCAATGGGAAATTAATGCTGTAATTAAAATAATAGCAATTCCATAATTCATTAAGGTTTGCCAAGTGCTTGCTTGGTACCTCATTAGATCTTGGTAACAACCTCCTGAGGTAGGACCTATTCCCATTTTTCCAGACAAAATGTCTAGCCCTACCCAGGATCACTTAGCTAATTAAGTGGGTAAGGTAGGATCTGAACACAGATTTTCTGGACTTGAAATCCAGGGCTCTATCCACTCCACCACCTAGCTACCTAAGGACATGGAACACAGACTATATTGTTACTTTATTGATTTTAATTTTATTTAACTGTCATTGTTTTCTTCCTTTTACTTTTGTTTTTATGAATGATGGTGATGGAGGGAGGAGGGATCTATTGGCAAATGAAAGGGACATCAGAACAAAAGGGAGCAATAATTGTTTTTTTAATGAGTATTACTCAGAAGTTTGGATAGGTTGTCTCCGGAGGCAGCAAGGTTTTCCTCCTTCATTTGGGGGTATTGAAGCAAAGGCTAGCAGACCACTTTGTCAGGGGACATTTAAAAAGGGATGTTCATGATTACGCATGTATAACCTAAATCGAATTGCTTGCCTTCTCAATGGGGGCAGGATAGAGAAGGGAAAGAATTTCGAGCTCAAAGTTTTAAAAAACAAATGTTAAAAATTGTTTTTACATGTAACTAGGGGAAAATAAAATACTAAATTAAAAAAAATGTAAAAAGGGATGTTCAGCCAGGTAGGTGTTGACTTAGGTGACCTCTGGGTCATTCCATAGGTCAACAATGAACTTCTCCAAATCCTCTGCTCTTACCCAGATACTATGGAACCTTCACACTGAGGTGAAGCTAGGGGGTGGCCCTAAACTGGCATTGAGGTCAAGATCTAGGAAGGTCTCCCCCGGGGTTCAGGCCACAAGTAGGGCCACCTGGCCAAGGCAATGTTTTTTGCTTGCTTCTGAAGCTCCTCTGAAAGCCAGCCAGCAAAACAGGGAGGAGGGAAAGCTGAAACCTTGCCCATGGTGTAGGAGACTGAGGTTCAAAGCAGTCTGGTCCCGGACAATCACTAGCTGCGTGTAAGTGGGTTTACAAGAATGTTGGGGAAGGAGGCACACAGATCTACCAGAAATTCACGGAGAGATCCAAAGTGAGCTGAACTCAGACCAGATCTTTAAGGACTGAGATTTTCTTTGCTTTTTCTTTTTCTTTTTTTTTTTTTTCAGGCTGTGTAAATGACTTCCAAAGAACTCTCAGCTCTAGGGGTAGGACTATGAGTCTAAATTGTATTTGTCTTTAGGGAGGAGAGACTCACAGAAGGGGAAATGAGAATTGTTTTCTTTGTTAGTTGTTAAAAGGTTACTGTGAGCCCTTTATATATAATAGTCTCTGAGCTAAAATCAAGGCTGTTTTCTATCCCAAATACACCGTGATTTGGGTACATGCATATCAGCTGAGGGCACTTTTAGTGGCCGCTGGGAAGATCTAGATTTAAGCTAAACTCAGGTTCTCAGGGAAACCTGGGATAGAAGAAAATGAACCAAACAATAACTTGGGGAGTCCCAAAGCCCTATGGTATAGTTTTCTCTCCTCCCTGGTGGAGATCAATGCCCTGCACCAGTGTGAGCCCCAGTTGTCTAGACTGGGAAAGAGGAGAGGCTCACTCTCTTCGAGGTCAAAAGTCTTTTTAGGATTCTTCAGGCTTCAGGCACTGCTGACGTTCAGCTTCAAGAGAGAAGGTGGATGATGCCAACCCCACTTCAGTTTGCTGAAGAAAAAGACTCTGGGGAGAAGTCAATACAAAAAGGTGCCTGTAATCTCCCTCATGTCCATCTCCCCAGCTTACTATACTAAGCTCTATGAATTCCTGCATGAGTGAGATCTAACACTCTTTGGGTTAAGCTGAATTGTTCCTAGTGGGAGAGCTCTTTCATTCTGTATTTTATGGTATATGTTTTCCCATGTACGCTTTCTCTGATTTTTGTTTTGTTATAATTTGGATAAAAGAGTTTCTTGGCTAAAAAAAAGTAACTTAGGGGTTGTTCCCCGAGTTTGAAACTATACATCCATGTGAACCCAGAGCTTGGAGAACAGGGCTGTCAATTACATGTTCAACTCATATTCGCAGAGTACATACCCAATAACTATTTGCTGATTAATTATTCAATAAATCATCATTATTTTTTCCTTTCAGTGTTTTATTATGGAATTGGAGCAAAGGCATAGCTAAAATGTTTTCTGCTCTCCCAGAAAAAAATTAGGTAAAATCTTTTTAAATCCTCTCTCTCTCTCTCTTTTTCTCTCTCCTTCTATCTTTCTTTCTTTTGCACATATTCTTTCTTTCGTGCACACACACATTTTTTCCCTTTAGCATCTCATCAGTTATGAATTTTCAGAAGCATCGCTGATGTACTATGTTGGGTCCGACCTCTTTAAATTCTGTAGCAGTGATCCACATATCCTGAAAGGCAGAAAGGGAGGCAAGGATGGAACCTCCCATCCACACAGATATTTTCCTGTCTGGTGGGGCAGAAACCCTCACAGGAGTGTTGGCAGGCACCATGAGGGCCAGCTCTTTTACTAGCCTCTTATCTAAACCGGGGAAGCAGGTCGATCCCCCAGCAAGGACAATATTGGAGAAGAAGGCATTCCTTAAATCTGTGTCACATTTCATTATACTATTGAAACAGAGCTTGTCAATGCCAGGAGCCTCCAAATTCAGGTGCCCTGGAAGAAAAAGGCTCTCCGGGCATCTGAACATCTCATCATGGAGTTTGATGGTCTTTCCATCAGGCAATTTGTAAGTTTTCTCCAACATGGCAGGATTCTTGGTCAGTTCCTCTTCAAAGTTGGCAGCTACATAACAGTGGTTCTCTTTGATGTGATTGACAATCTTTTTGTCCGATGGGCTAAGCAGCAAGATATTGTGATCCTGGAGGAGTTTAATAAGGTACTCGGTGAGATCTCGTCCAGCCAGGTCCAGCCGAAGGACACCATGAGGTAGGCAGTAACCTTCAAAGACGGGCACACACTGGGATATACCAGCACCTGAATCCAGCACAAACCCTGTTGTATAGCCCGAGGCAAAGAGGGCCAGGACAGACTGGATAGAGACAAAAAGAGCTGGCACCTCAAAACTCTCAAAGAATAACTCGGTCATCCTTTGCCTGTTAGTCAGGGGGTTGAGTGCTGGCTCTGTGAGCATCACGGGACTCTCATAGGCCTTCATTTTCAAGTTATGTTCATAAACATTCCTCCACATGGCTTCCATGTCTGCCCAGGAGGTGACAACGCCCCGTTCCACCGGATAGCTATAGAGAGTACAATAGAATAAAGAGTAGCCCTTGGGTTTTCATTTCCTTTCCTTCCCCTTCCCCCCACCCTGAAGATTTCACTTTCCCCAGGAACACAAACCCAACTTGAAGGCACTAGGTTCCCATGTAGGGACTGCCATGTCTCACGGAGGACCTCTGTTAATGCCCCTGATGTCTCTTCTCCTTCTTTGGCCCTTCCCATCTTCCTCCTTATTTTTTCCCTGCTTCTGGATTTTCCTCCCTTCCCTTGAGAGGGATAGTGATGAGGTAGAAAGAATGTCTGGATATAAGTCTACCACTTACTATCATTTGTGTGACCTTAGGCAAGAAGAAGGAATCATTTATAATAATAATAGCTAACACTGATATAGTACCTACTGTGTGCCAGGCTAAGTCTGTGTGCTAAGTCTTTTACAATTACTATCTCATTTGTTAAAACATTTGTAGTAGTACTAATAGTAGCTAGAACTTAAATAGTACTATAAGCGCTTTACAAATATTTGGTTCTCACAACAACCCTAGGTGGTAGGTGCTATTAATATCCCCATTTACAGATGAGAAAACTGAGGCAAACAGAGCGTAAGTGACTTGTCCGGGGTCACACAGTATCTGAGGCTGGATTTGAACTCAGGTCTAACTGACTCCAGGTCTTTCACTCCACCCACTTCACCACCTTGCTGCCCCCAAAGATCTGTAAAACACTTCCCGCCTCCCAAATGCCACTGACCACAGCTGCACTAGACATAGAGCAGGAAGATCCCTGTAGGGCAGGGACTGGTTTTTTTTGTTTGTTTGTTTTTTGTTTTTGTATTTCCAGTCTTTAGCCCAATGCCTGACATGGAGTAAGCACTTAGTAATAATGCTCATGCTTGCCTAAAGTCATCTAGACAGCAAACCACAGGACTGGGAATCAATTCAGTGCCATTCAACCAAGTAAGTGCTATTATATCCAAGATTCAATATCAGATCTTGAGGAATAGAAGGAGAAAAATGAAGGGGATACACGAAGCTTGGCAGAGGAGGAGAGTTAAAAACAGAACCTTCAGAGTTAGGTGGAAGTTCACATGCATCCCAGGGCCCGAGGTCAGCTTGTACAAATGCAAAGAGATGCCAGGTATAATGCCAAGCTCTGGGACCAACTGGTAGTCCTTCCAGCATGACTGGAAGATGAAATGCATATGGAGGGGTGATGCAAAATGAAGGAAAATCTTTGCTTTGGCAGCTGTGGGGAGTGTGGATTGAAGAAGGATCAATTAGAAGGCTATTACCATAGAATAGGTGAGGCGTCTGTAATAAGAGAGATAGCCTTGTGATTTGAGAGGCTATAGAAGGTAGTGATAAAGGGCAGCTAGGTGGCTAAGAGCACTGGGCCTGGAGTCAGGAAAGCCTGAGTTCAAATCCGACCTCAGACTCTTACTAGCTGTGTGACCCTGGGCAAGTCATTTAACTTTGCCTCTGTTTCCTCACCTGTAAAATAAGCTGAAGAAAGAAATGGCAAACCACTCCAATATCTTTGCCAAGAAAGAAGGGTCAGACACGACTGAAACAACCCAATAACAACCAAGATACTAGTGATATTATCAAGGCACAATCCACACCCTTGGTATGCAATATTATTGGGACAGGGAAGACCCCAGAAAGACTCCAGGAGGTAATAAATCTGGATGACATGTTGAATATGAGATGCTTATGGGAGAGTCTGGGAGGAGTTCTCCAGCAGGTAGTTGGTGAGGTGGACCTGGAGGTCGTGGGAGGGCTGAATATAAAACTTTGAGAAACATCCACGTGGTAGAAATGATATTTGAAACCAGGGAAGCCGATGAGATGCCCAGGGGAAAAAGTATAGAGCAAGAAGGGACCAGAAAAGAACATTGGGGAATACCTATAGTGAAGGGGCAGTAGATGGATGATGATGGAGCAAAGGAGACTGAAGAAGAATTAGTTAAATACTTAAGAGGAGAACCAGGAGTCATGGACACCAAAGGAAGGAAAAGTGACCAGAACGTGAAGGGTCAGTCATTTGAGTCTAAAGTGTCAGAGATTTAAACCTCATTCAACCCTATAGGCTAGAATCAAGGCTAGAAATAGAAAAATAGACTTCAACAAAGGTATGCTTCATCCACAACATACTAAGTGTGGTTTTGTGATGAAGAATTAAGGAATGTGCATCAAGTAGGATGAAGACTAAGGTAACACCATAGTATTTAGTGATGAAAACATCCCTGGTGAGGGGCTTTTTTTGAAAAATTAATTTATTTTTTAAACATGTTTTTCTTTTTAAATTTTGAGTTCCAAATTCTCTCTGTCCATCCCACCCCATCCCCTATCCACTGAGAAAGCAAGTAAATATGGCGTCAATTATACATGTGAAATCAACCTGGTGAGCTTTGAGAGAGCACTTTCTGTGTGGTGCTGAGGTCTGAAGGCAGGCTACAATGTGCTGAGGAGGGACAGGTCAATAGACAGTCTAACTGATGTTAGGAAGTGGGCAGTAAAAGACTGAAGGCATATAAAGAATGGGACTTGGACCCAGATTTCCTGATTCCAGGTCCAACAAGCACTGCATATGGCTTCATCATCTGCAAAGTAAATCATGGATTAGGAGCTAGGAGGGAACTTGGAGGCTGCTGAGCCTAATGCCGCTATTTCACTGATAAGGAAACTGAGGCTGGGAGAAGTGAGATAATTTGCCCAGGGTCACATAGATATTAAATATCTGAGGCACAATTTGAACTCAGGTCTTTCTGATTCTAATTACAGTGCTTTAGTCGCTGCCCCACTAAGCTGTCTAATCTTTGGTGCCTACTCTCATCAATAAATGAGATGTATTAAAGTATTTTATATGAGATTCTATTTCATACCCAGTCAGAAGGCAACTAAGTAGTACAGTGGCTTCTGCTGTTTGTGCTTTGTTCTTGAAGAGGACCATGACATCAGGGAGGTAATGCCATGACAAGCAAGTGAACTGGATTTAAGTGAGGGAGGGCTGTGCAAAGTCACCAGCCTCACTTTCTTCTCCAGAGCCATCTGGATCCAGTGGTCAGATATAGATCAGGAAAACTGGGCCCAGAATGCAGTGGGTAGAGTATCAGGAAGACCTGAGTTTAAATCTGGCCTCAGAGACTTACTAGCTGTGTGACCTTGGGCAAGTCACTTAACCTTGTTGCCTCAGTTTTATCATCTGTAAAATGAACTAGAGAAAGAAATGGCAAACCATTCCAGTATCTTTGCCAAGAAAACCACAAATGGGGTCACAAAGAGTTGGACACAACTGAACAATAAAAATTTCACATCTGTCAGATTATTGAAGAAGATAATGGAGGAGAAAGCCATACTAATGCCATGTTGGTGGCATTGATCTAGCTATTCTAGAAAGCAATTTGGAACTATGCACAAAAAACTATGCATACTCTTTGATCCAGCAATACCCCTACTAGGCCTATACCCAAAAGAGATCAACGAAAAAGGGAAAGGACAAATATGTGTAGCTATTTTTATGTTATTAAAAAATTGGTGACTAAGGAATACCCATCAATTGTGGAATGGCTGAACAAATTATGATATAATATTGTGCCATAATAAAGGGACAGATTCAGAGAAACCTAGGAAGACTTGTATGAACTGATGCAGGCTAAAGTGAACAGACATTTAAGAACCATTTTTTAAGTAACAAACAACTTTGAAAGAAGTAAGAATTCTGAGCAACACAATGGCCAATCTCCCTCCTTTGGATGATGAAGTATGCCACCCACCTCCCACCAAAGAGACCATGATGCACTCAGGGTATAGGATAAGACATATATCTCTGGACAAGTCCAATGCAGGAATTTCTTTAACTTAACTATGCATATTTGTTACAAGGGTTTTATTTTTTTCCCCTCTTTTTTCTTTTCAATGGGGAGAGGATATAGGAAGGAGAGAAAATTGTTAATTAAAAAATAAAATTAATTGTAAAAAGAAAATGCTTTATAAAAGGTAAATGTTCTATTAATGTCATGGTCTTTTGTTTCCCTACCTACTCCTTTATTTTGCTTAATTCCACTACCTTTATCCCCCCCCAAAAAAAGCAAGGAAACAGTCACTTTACTACCATTTCTGATTTTTCTCCTGACTGTTTTTTTTCTCTAATTCCAAGTCCCTTTTGTCATTTCATAGGCTTACAGGATTTAGAGGTAGACCTTAGAGATGATGTAGTTTAAGACAGGGCAGCTAGGTGGTGCAGCGGATAATGTTGGGCCTGAAGTCAGGAAGACTCATCTTCCTGAGCTCAAATCTGCCCTGTTACTCTGGCCAAGCCACTTAACCTCAATTCCTCATCTATAAAATGAGCTGCAGAAGGAAATGGCAAACCAGTCCAGTATCTTTGCCAGGAGGAGTCAGACACGACTGAACAGCCCCAAAAGTTAAGGACTGTTCCTTTTATGGCCAAGTAGACTAGAGTCCAGAAAGGCTGGCCAGGTCAAAGTCACGCTGGGTAGTAATAACAAGGCTGGAATTTGAACTCAGGTCACATGCTGAGATTTGGGCCTAAGTGCACAAACTTGAAATCCAGTGTCCTTTCCACATTTTGCTAAGCCTCAGCTCCCTTTATCCTTTCCCTTCTATCTCCAATCACCTTCTCTTCTTTTTACACCCTGAGCCCCTCCACCTGAAACAGGAAAAGGAGTTTACCTGATAGAGAGAGAGCCTCTCCTGGCCTGGGCTTCCTCACCCACAAACAGATCCCTCTGTGAGTTTTCAGAGCCCCCCAGTTTGCCCTTCACCCGGCCTGCTATGTTGGCATAAACGAACTGGGGCTCCCTGTTCCCGGCCAAGCCTGCCTTCAGCACCTCAGACCCATTGTCTATCACCACAGCAGCGGAGTAGCTATTCATCCTATCGGCATCCACGCCTCCTTCCTTGTCAATGGTGGGGCCACTAGCATGCTCCCTAATCCCCGCCAGCTTCTCTTTGGTGCCAGTCAAATCTCCCCTGACTTCCCCGTCCCCCAAGGCCTCCTAAGGTATGTGTAACAATGCAGGCACTATGAAGTCACCTGAAGTGTCTGGCTAAGGCCCCTCCACCCTTCCTGTGGATGTGGCCTTAGCATCCAAAATAAACTTGCTACAAAAAGTTCCCCCAAAAGTGATTTTTCTTAATGTTTTTTTTTCCCATTTCAAGAAACCTATAAACACATTATAGAAGAATCAATAACAATCCTTCCAGCTACCAGTTCCTCTGAAGTTCTCTGCTTGTTTTCTAAGGATTAATTAGGCTGCTTTGAAAAAATGATTTGTCAATTCCTGGCACTTCCCCCACCCCGAACTTTCCTTTGTGATTCAGTGAAATTGATCTAATTTTGTTTGGGGCATGAAAGATCCCTGAAATGCTTGACTTTAATAGCTGCTACAGTATCTCTAATAGTCATTGAAGTGTGATCTTTAAGAGCTACAACTTCTGCATGTTTCCTTAGAATAATCTAATTATTAAAAGTCACAGTATAAAAAAACAAGCAAACAAAAGGAAGCAATGAAATATGTACGTTGAATGAAATCCAGCACTCTACTGACACAGACCTAACTAAAGGTGGGGAAACCAACTCTGTCCACTTTCATCTAGTAAAGGTCAAACATTTTGAGTTAACCTAATGTCAACAGAAGCACAAACTCATGATTACTGCTGTAATAAAAATGAAAATATATCAAAATTATTGCTTGGCTCAAGTCATTTGAACACAACTATAGTCTGCCAAAAGGAAAGGGTTGCAGTGTCCCTTCAAATGGAAAATATCAATGTTTTCTTGACTTAAACTTTGGAGAATACAGAGTCAAGCCCCCTACAGGGACACTCCCCCAACTAGGTATAGACTTAATAATGGTATTTCTAGGTCAGAGTATGAACAATCACTTTCCAAATATTAATTTCCAAAATGGCGGACCTAATCCATAGCTCCATCAATACCGTATTCATGTGCCTAACATTCCATAGCCCCACCAACATTTGTCATTTGGGGGTTCAATTATGTCAATCTGACAGGTGTAAGGTAAAACTTCAGAGTTGTTCCAATTTGCATTTCTCTAATTATTAGTGACTCTGAGCATTTTCAAATATGCTTATAGATAGCTTGGATTTCTTCTCTTGAGAACTGCTTGTCCATATCCTTTGAGCATTACTATCAACTGGATATAAAACTATTTTTGAAAATATATAGATAAGAATAGAAGGAAGGTCAGGAAAAAATTACAGGCACTCAGGACAGCTCTAAAAATTGCATTTTGAATTTAGCATACATTTATCATTTTTATGTAACATTTATATATTTAATATGTATTTAACACTATTTTTATATTATATATAATTACATTTGTACATTATGCATAATGTTTAACATCTATAGAAAACACATATTTTTGTACATTCTATGAATATTTATAAACATATTTATATTTAATAATAAAGCAAGCTGAACATAATTGATACTCATAGTTTCCTGTATAATCTTTTCCTGGTCTACTGTGTTGCATAAATGCCCATTTTATTTGACATTTGAGTTCACAATTTCAACAAAAAAAGAGCTGATGCCCTCCTTGGGATGACTGTCTTTCGGATTCTACTATTACTATTAGCCATTGCCCTTTGGGTAACTACCTCAGCTGCTCCCTCTTAGGTAATTTCATCTCCAGATAGTTATTTGTCTAAGATTATTAAAGAACAGATACATAAGCAACAGGTGTCACGTCCTCGCAAATGACTGACAGCCTGTGGAGGATTGCAGGGAAGGAATTTGGTCAGCATCCCCTCCCCCCCCAGGCAGCTCAAAGTAGTCTTTCCTCTTTGGTTACCGGGAGGAAAGAGAGCAAGGAGCTTGCAGGGGATGGAGGTGACTTTTAATATATCCTCTCTGTTCTGCTCAGCAACCAGACCATGAATCGTCATGGCTAGAAATAGACTTACCCTAACATTTCTGTGTGGTCATTTGGGACTGGACCCAGGCAGGCGATACCTGCACATTTCAAGGATTCTTCCGTCCACTCCTATTATACTCCCTTGATCCTTATTGGAACTCTTTCTTAAAAAACAAAATTGGTAAATATTGGGTGTAGCAAATATCAGACATCACAAAGAATGAAATTGAGTCCATTTTAACAGATGGCCAAAGATTTGATAGGACTATAGGATTTATCCTGAGTCCCCATGGGCACACAGACTCCTGACTTGTAAGAGTTAAGAATTTATAATAAACAAGAATAGTAATGAAAAAAAAGAACGGCATAAAATTAAGAATTTAACCCTGAATCATTAGAGTAAATTATTGAAAACAAAAAGTGGGAAATGGTAAGAGAAACAAGATCAGTGCTGACTATAATAATTTTGATGGGAAATCAAATAAATTAATTGCTACAACAAAAAGACCAAAAAAAGCCCCAAAGGATTTTAATTAGCAAACATATAAATTAATTGTCAAATGGGAGCAATAGCATTCAAAGACAATCCTAGGTTAGAATGTAAGCTGTTTGAAAATATTTCAAAGGATGATAGATGATTATAAGGAGATTCCAGGTCACATAAGCAACTAGATAGAGGACTAGACATTTTCTCTAATCCCCAGGAACTCAAACCTTTCCAAAATGGAAATTATGCACCAAAGATAAAGTTACTGAAGCTGTGTCTATGGTCTAGGATACCTAATATCCAAAAGAAGATCTAAAAAAATACAAAAAAGTGTAAGTAAGGTGAATTTTAGTGTGTGTTAGGAGGGTTTTGTTATTCCTTTTTAGATAATAGTTTCAGGATCTTTGATAATATTTCCTATGAATTATGGTTGACAACTTCTACCGCACAGTTGCAGCAGAGATATAGGGGTGACATAGTGTACGTGTGCGCTGTGTTAGGTCACAACTTGCTAAAGTTAACCTGGGAGGCTATTGTTGGTAAGATGCCTTCTTTGTTGTTCTATAAAGCAAGTGGACACTGGTCAGTGACGGATTTTGGGGGGCGGATTTGAATAATGCATAGAGGAATGCATGTACCTGCCTTGATCGGCCCCCATCAAGGCATGGGAGGATATCTGTGTTTGCCTCAACTGGCCCCCATTGAGGCTTAGAGGACCTTAGGATCTTAGGAGTCATAGCTCCTACCATTTTCACTGGTGATTAGGGAATGTTGTAGGAGTTGGTGCTCCCATTATCAGCAAACTCCTTTTGAGAAGAATAAGACTAGAGTAAAGTTATTTAACCCCTCTGAAGCTGTCTTCCTGTCTGACTGGATCAAAAGTGAACCTGTATTAGAACACCTGTTAGTGTTAGGAACCCTCCTGTGTTCTCCTGCCCAACAAATGGTGTTACCTGTGTGCTTACCTGTGAAACACCCAGGAACTCTCAAACCTTTCCAAAATGGAAATTATGCACCAAAGATAATGTTACTTAATCTGTCTAGCTTAAGTAAAATAAGGTCTAGGATACCCAAGATCCAAAATATGATCTAGGATACCCAAGATCCAAAAGGTTACAAAAAATACAAAAAACAAAACCCCCGAAACAAAAACCTAGGAATTGACTTTCACTGACCCTGAGCTCACGGAGCACTCCTTCCCCACCTCCTCTGCTGTGGGCATCAAGGCTGCAGGAGCAGACCCAAGGACCAGACGCACAGGCATGTCACAAAACCCAATCCATTCCTATACATCCCCCTCCCCTTCTGGCCCAGTGGAGTTTGGGCAGATGCCAGCCCTTCAGGAGGAAAAGCAGGCTGGGAGCCACAACCCTGTAGCAGCAACAGCAAACAGCTCTGAGATGCCAAACTAGAGAACTGAATAACAGTGGGACTGGGACAGGATACCACGTCAACACACCTTTGGGGGTGGGGGTGCAGAGGTTGGTGCCATGACACTAAGCCCGAAGGAAAGGGCACAGCATTTAGCTGGGGCCAGTTCTGATCACTCAAAAGTCACTGGGGGCACAGATTTAGGCTGCTGAACCATGAATTACCCAGTGAGAGAAGAGGCTGAGATGATTTGAGATCCAGCCCCCGAGGAAACCACCATCAGAGGCGCAGAGTCAGAAAATGAGTAGGGGAAGATGACAGGAGGGTGGGGGTGGGAGAGTGAAATCACCAAAGATCTCTGGGAGAAGAAAATTCAAAGACCTTGAACGTGAGCAGATAGATAATTATGTGCAGTTTCAACCCATAAAACCAAGAGTGGTGGAAGGCTAAACCATTCTAAAGAAAGTCTAGCAAGATATCCCAATGGTATTTAGTAATTTTCTCCAAGATGGGGGTTCTTGACTTTATAGTTTGTTGAAACTTTTGGATCTCTTCTCAGAATAATGTTATCAAACACATAAAACAAAATACATAGAGGTAGATAGGCAGTCAACTATTTTGAATATTTATTAGGATGTTTTTAAAAACCAAATTCATGGACCCTAGGTTAAGAATCCATGTTCTAAGACTATTGGTAAGGGTAGGGCCCAATTGAGTAAATCAATCAAATCACTCCACCCTAATTAATTTAACTGATATGTTAATGAGATGAGAATGTGTTTAAATCAATCAATAAATCAAGGACTTTAGACCAAGTTTGGAAAATGACGTTGTGCAAGAACCTTTTCATATTGACTGAAGAAACTTGTGGTTGCCTACAAAATATCAAGCCAGTTTAGCCAAAGAAATTGGAGTGAGCTGGACAGGAAAGAATATTTTTTTTAATTGTCACTTGTTAATTTATTTATTTTTAGTTTTTCACATTCACTTCCACTTCCAGATTTTGAGTTCCAAATTTTCTCTCTCTTCCCTCCCCCCGCCTCAAGACAGGGAGCATTCTGAATACCCCTTCCCCTAATCTGCCCTCTCTTCTGTCCCTCCCCCTTCTCTTATCCTCTTCCCCTTCTATTTT